GTACCCAGCCACTCTTTCCAGCCAACTGTATGTAATTTGACCCTAATCACACATGGCCTCCTGGATTTGGGGAGGGCTAAAGTATACAATCTGGGGAAGGCTAGGAAGAGAAGACATGACCCATGCTGGGTAAAGGCTTTCCAGTGTGCATACCCTCAGGTCATACATACACCTCAGCAACCCCTCAGTTATCTCAGTAAGTAAGCTCAATAAATTTATTGGGTTCTCTGTAAAACTTAAATCCAACATTGGCTTGACACTAGAACCCTGAAAGGGAACAAGCATTGCTTAGCATCCCCAGGAAGAGAAGTCTCACAACAGATGGAAAATTTGTTAATGCTATTATGTTTCATAATTATTCAAAAAAAAAGAAAATGAGAGTGTAAAAGATGTTAAAAGGATATGGGGGGACTGGAGAGATGGCTCAGTGGTTAAGGGCACTGACTGCCCTTGCAGAGAACCCGGGTTCGATTCCCAGCACCCACATGGCGGCTACGAACCATCCTTAACTCCAGTTCCAGGGGAATCCGAAGCCCTCTTCTGACCTCTGAGGCATTGCACAACATGAGTGCACTCACATACAAACAGGCAATACACTCATACATAAAAAAATAAATAAAAATTTTTTTAGGAAGAATTAATATTGTTAAAATGACCATCCTATCAAAAGCAATATATAGATTCAATGCAATCCCAATCAAAATTCATGTGACATACTTCACAGAATTAGAAAAATGCATCCTTAAATTCATATGGAAGCACAAAAGACCTCGGATAGCCAAAGTAACCCTGAGCACAAAGAGCAATGCTCAAAATATATAGCTAGTCAAGGTTTATCTGAGAATATTTGGTTTTTTACCCAAGCCTTATCTACATAGCACATGGTAATTAAAAGTACTAGACTGGTGGAACTAACCTTATTGGATGTTTAACAGACATAGTTTGAGGCCTACGCTAATGTGGTCAGAGAGACTTAAAGGACAGTTTTTGCCCTTTGCCCTCCAAGGTCAACTAAGGTCCAGGGGATTATGGGACATCTCTCAAAATGTCCTGTAACCGTGGTGAGTCACCTGTCATCTTGTTCAGGGAGGACATGGAGACCCCATGAGATGGACTTGAACCAGTGTCCAGTCTACAAAGAGGAGGGTCAACTCAGAGGAAACATCTCATTCATGCTTCTAAGTGAAGCCAGACATCATCGAGCAGGCCTTTGACTTATCTTCACATAGATGGAACTGGCAAAAGAAAGGAACCAGGAGTTCTTCCCAAGCCCATGTGACCCCCTGAGGAACAGATCCTCAAATGACCTTAAGTGTAAAAATAAATTGATTTATTTGGGCCTTAAATACCCAAAAGGAAAGTATAACCAAAGTGTAAAGTCATCAGTATATTTCTTTAAGAGTTCAAGGGATTACACTTCCCAGACATTAGGCTTAAGTCTATATAAAAATTATTTAGACAATTATTTCTCATTGATGATTTTGTTCCTAACCAGAAAGTGCTGCTCAGATGTAAGGCTTCAAATCTTGGTCTCCAATACTGTAGTGCCCACCTGTAGCTAAGGGAGACAACCAGCTATTGTTCTTAAATGATGGATACATTTGTTTTCTCGCCCTATCTAGAAGCCTTTGAGAGGGAACTGACACTGATTCTAACCACTCCAACAGTTACCAAAATACCTGAAAGCAAATCCTGAATCCATCACACTAGAGTCCAGCCTTGGAAGACAAAAGAAAAATGAGGAGGAACCCAATAGAGGGATGCTTTTGGAAGTCCTTGACAAGAAATTCCATTGGACTTTCATATGAACATTTGAAAATTGCCCTGTTCTGACTTTTTTCTAGTTCCCTGTCTAGAACTCGTAATGCTAATTATTCTTGTCTTTACTTCTCCTTCACATCTCCTATTCAGGATTCAAGGACTTCTTTTTCCTTAGAGATAAGAGTTTTGCAATTTGGGAGTCTTTTAGCTAGACCCACTGAAGGGGTACTCCAATTGCCTCACCCTGTGTCCCTGTTCAGCATGGAAGAAGCCAGAGCGGTCTGCATACCTATTCCCTATTGACAACTTGGGTAACCTCTTCAGAGGATGGTGTGATAAGAATAGGAGGTAGGAATTGGCTAGGCAGTTAGGGTAAAAAGACCCCAAAGAAAAGTAGCCAGTTTCTTGGATAAAGTCAAAATGTCCTTGGGCCTCTTAGCAACCTATTTTGTTCCAAAGGCCAAAAATGTCAGAAGTATTTGGGAGCTTTTATCTAATCCTTAAAAGATTTTAGGGTTACCTCTTCGGAGGGGGAATGTTAGAGTAGCCAAAAGCCCCATAAAGAAGAAGAAAGAGTACATGAAGTTATCAGAAAAAGGTGATGGGGAGATATGGGAGGAGTTGGAGGGGAGGGAGTGGGCATGAATTTGATCAAAACACCTTATATGCATGTATGAAATTCTCAATAAATTATTTATTTTTAAAAAAGAGGACACAAATTTGGGAGAGGGTGAGAGGGTTGGAGATGGATCGAGGAGGAGTTGGGAGTGAATATGATCAAAATACATTATACACATATATGAAAGTCTCAATAAATGAGTCACAATATTATATTAAAAACACATCAGCTGCCCCCTTTGGCTACTTCTGCAATGCCATGGGACCGCCTTCCCCTCCTGAACCCACTGAGAAATGAACTCACCCCTCTGACTTGTCTGTACCCCTGGGAACAGAAAGGGAAGGTGGGTGCAGCTGAGCCTGGCAGCGGATGCTCCTCACTGCAGCATCCATCCACCGCACACACACAAGCCCACGGATCCCACAGCTCTGCTTTTAGAGCAGCACACGCCTTGCTAGCATCCCAGTTACCAAGGCAAAGAAGAGCACTGCGACCATCGCACCATGAGCTCCAGGGAGATGGAGGTGCCAGCAGCCTGGAAGGGACACCCACATGGGTGTGCAGTTGACAAGTTCAGTGCCTGCTACATATGCAGGTCTTCATACTCAGAGCCTGACCCACAAATATAACACACACATTCTCTTCCTATCCCACCATCCTTTCCCCCAAGGAACTGCTGAGTTCCAGACTAAGACTCAGAGACTAAGGGAAGAGGGGCAGCTGTCTAAATTAGAAGGGACAGAAAAGTTGAAGAGTGGGAGGCCCTGCACAGACAGCACCATGCTAAGTCTGAAGGTCACCACAAGGGCTGAGCAGGCAGCTGTATCTCTGGCTCCTTCCCATCTTGGGGACAGCCTTTAACCCCACCCCTCATTACATCATTGCCCGGTGAAAACCAAGAGCAAGAGATGTGGAAGGAATCATCTAAGGATAGGCTTTCAAATGTAGCAAGACAGTAACTATTTTCCATTAGTGAACGAGATGGGAGCTTAGCAGCCCGGTGGCCTCCTCCACTATGAAGGGATAATGACAAGGACCAGGGCCTCCCTACTCAGGCTGGGAACCCTCAGCTCTCCTATCCTAGTAAATGGGTATAGGGTAAATGGACACAATCCCTCACCCAATATCCCAGGAGCTGCATACAAGTCAGGATTTAGATTTTTTGGATTTGAGGAAGGGGATAGGCTGTGCACGCAGACGGCGGGGGGCGGGGGAGGTCTGGAGAATTTCCCAGCAAGCAACCTATAAATAGGTCCTGTAAATAGACTAAATAGACACAAAATGAGCCTCATGTCAGTGCAGGGCAGGATTTGTCACCAAAAGAGTTTTGGTGTTACGATTGAGCTAAAATGTTGGGGTGTCAGAGCATCTTTGTTTTAAATTCTTGGCTACAGGGCCATGGGCAGAGTCAACTGACCCCAGCACCTCAAACATGACAGCTGCAGCTGTGCCAACATGTTCCACCATTCCACAATGAAGGGGATTAAGGCCCCATAGGGACCAAAGAAAGAACAAAGCCCTTTCTAGGGCATCAGCTGATCAGCAGCTCACAGTCAGTAACAAGTCTCTGGTCTTCAGCCCAGTTATCACATCTACAGCCAGACCTAGGCCTTCTGGACCTGTCCCCACTCAGCAGGAGAGAAACTCAGACACCTGCTTGATGTGCTCCCTGAGTGCCTGCAGCCCTTTCCTGTGTCCAACCATCCCCCACATCCATTAGACAGTTGGCCCCCAAGTCCAGAGTGCAGGGTACCCGTTTTGACTGTTCATCTGCTGCCTCTTCACCCAAATGTTTCCACCCAAAAGCCCTTCACTGGCTTCTTGTGACTGTCATGGCGGGTCACTGGGCTCGATGCCAAGATGCCCTGATGACCAGGGTTGCCTTTCAGGACTCAGAGAGCAGAGAAGGCACATAGGGTCTGTGGGGTGCTGGGGGCTACTGGGAGGGGCCTCTACCCAGGGCCTTCCTTCTCAGCCTCTTGCACTCTCCTCCCCTCAAAAATCTAGAGTCTCCTTCCATTGGAGGGGTTGGGACAGGGGTAACCTGGCTGCCATCCACCTGCAGACAGAATTCAGTCAGTAAACTCTGAAACAGCTTCTGAAAGGAGACCCACAGTGACCTCGACCCTCCTAACACAGGGCTGGGAGTCTGCCTTCCTGGGGCGTCCAGCTGGGCCAGCGGCAATGGACGCTCGCTTCTCACCGCTCTCTCAAGGGCGACCCCCCCCCCCCCGCCCCGCCCCAGTTTTCAGGTCTTTTTTTTGTCCCCTGCTCCGAAGCTCGTCTTGTCTAGCTTCAGCTCAGCACCTGGAAGGACACCAGCCTGGCAGGAGCCTGGTCAGTGCGAAGTGGCTGAGAAGAAGCCGTCCGTCCCCTGGGGGTCCCATGCCCTGGTCCAGCCCCGCAGCGCGGCGTTCAGCACCGGGGACGCGGACAGCACCGGGGCGCGCGGAGAGAGGGACCCGGGCATCCTCGGCCGTAGAGCCGACTGGAAACGCAGCGCCCTCAAGGCAGACGGGGTGGACCCGAGGTGTAGACGCGGGGACCCCGATCCGCCGACGGCGCCCACGGTGGGGCAGTCCCGCCCGCCCCGCGCCGCCCCCGGCCCGGAGCCTCTCACCTAGCACCGCGGTGCGGCTGCGCGCATAGCAGCAGGAGCGGGGGCAGCAGCCAGCCCTGCACGTCCATGGCCTCGCGGGACTGCGAGCGGGACGGGTCCGGCCAGCCTCGGCGCCCGCAAAGTTGCTTCGCCTGTGGCCGCGCGGCTGCACTAGAGGGGCGGGAGCACGGAGCGCGGCGCGGGCGCGAGGGGCGGACCGTAGAGCCGAGCCCGCCCCCGGCCCCTCCCAGCGTCCGCCCCACCTCCGCCCGCGCCCCGCCGCACCGGGGAGGAGGCGCCGCGCCCCACCGCGCCTTTCAAGGTCGCTCCACCTCTCACACTCCCGGCCCCTGAGCCCCCGAGACCCTCCACCTGCTGCCCTTGCTGTCTGCAAAGCGGATCCTCCACGTGTCCACCGGGGAGGCGACCAGGACGCAAGACCCGAGTGGACCCGGTTCGACGGGCACCACAGCACCTCATCCCTGAGGCAGACTTGCTTGGGCGGGGAGGGGTCCTAGGCCTGGGTTGCCGGGGCAGGGGAGTCCTTGCAGTTCTCAGCCACCATCATCTTTATCAGGGAAAGGACACCCCTCCGCAGTCGTAGCAGCTGCTGACCCAGCGACTTGGAAAGCGTGCTGTTCCCTGGAGACTGCACTTGGATGACCTCAGGTAGAGAGAAGGCTGGTCAGCATTACTGGACACTACTCTATCCTACGGAAACCCTGCTGGACAAGGGAAGACACTAATGCCTAGGTCTGGGATGGCCAGACCCCATCTCACGTGTCCATACCTTCTAGGAAAGGGCTGCTGAGGATGCTGAAGTCCACTCTCCATGGGGAAACAGAAGGTGTTTATTCCTTTGAACACAGTGTTTGGAGTTTCCCTTCAATAGCTAATCACAAGCTTGTCTTCTTTTCAGCCTCATTTACCTCACTGGATACCCTGGACCACACAAAGCCCTTTAAAAATGCGTAAATTCAGTCTGCCAGGGGTGTACACCTGGAACTCCAGTTACTCAGGATTCTGGATCAAGCCTGCTCAGCATAGCAAGACTGCCTCAGAATAAAGGGAAGCCACTGGCCAGAGCTGGCCTGACAGAGGGGTATGGAGCAGGAAGGACTCTGAAGGCCGTATTTATTGTTTTGGTTTGATTTTTGAGACAGGGTCTCATGTAGCACAGCCTTGAACTTGTTATGCAGCCAAGGATAACCTTGAACTCCTGATCATCCTGCCTTCCTTAAGTGCTGAGATTACATGCATTCAACAGGGTGCCTAGCAAGATTCTTGAGAAGTTGTTTCTGAGCCTTGGTCCCTCCCCGCCAACACATGGAATCTGTCCTGTCTCATCTCTCACATGGGCTCCACCCAGGGTTGCTCCAGGTGCTCAGGACCCAGGAAGACCAGCTCTGGAGCAGCCCCACCCAAGGCCAGGAAACAGAGCCTTGGTCGGTAAGACTGTTAGAATCTCAGGCTATGTCCAACATGCAGGTGCCTGGCCTGCTCTCCTCCTCTGAAGATACTACAGGTTGTTTTCACACTCTCTCCACTCCTGTCACTGCTCTAAGGTTCCACTCTCCGTGCCACCATGAGGCCTCTGTCACAGAAAAGATGTCCATCTCAGAATTGTGTGCTCCTTGCCAGGCACCTCAGCCACCCCCTCCTCTAGTCTTGTCACCTGGAGAGTTTGGAGTGGGGGCCTGCTACCAGGCTACAGGAAAGGCAGCGATAAAGAGGCTGGGGCCTCAAGCCTAGTCATTTGATCCCCACATCTATTCATTCTTCTTCCAGTGATAGCTCATCCTTGTCAGCTTGACTAGATTGGGAGAGACCTAGGAGACACACCTTTGAGAAGGTCTGTGAGGTTATTCCTGGAGAAGTTTAACTGAGGAGGAAAGACAGACCCTGGATGTGGGGGCGTCATTCCAAGTAATGGATCCCAAACTGAGTGACAGAGAGACAAAATGTGAGCCGCACACCAGCATTCATCACCCTGCTTCCTGGTTGCAGATACAATGTGACCAGCTGCCTCACACTCCTTGTCACCACCGTGAGAACTCTCGCTGCTACACCTTCTCCATGATGGCCTGGACCCTTGAACTGTGTGCTAAAATAAACCCTTCCTTCCTTAAGTTGCTTCTGTCAGGTATTTTGTCACAACAATGAGAACAGTACCTACCACACCTCCCTTACTGCTTCTTTGACATACAAAACTGGTTTTCCATCAGGTAGAATCTCTTCAGAGCCCTTGGTTGGATGCTGAGTGTGATGGCTGTTGTTGTTCATTCCGTGCAGGGAGGCCTGATCCTCTCCCCATATGATACTGAGCAGGGTACCTGGAAGGTGTGAAAATCCTGCTCCTTAGGCAGCTCCACAAGTCACCAGCTCAGTTTACCCAGGGACAGTAAGGTCCTAAGTAGCGTTGAAAAAGCCAAGACATATGGTCTGCTGGGCAGCCTTATCAAATGACTGGCTCTCAGCCTCTTGTGCCTTGGGATTGGATGATCACTCTGTCAGTGCTCCCAATACATGGGAAGGGACAGCTCGGGCAGAGGAGCTGGCCTAAACCAGTTGCCAAAGCTCCACAGCAGCAGGCTAGGCCCAGGAGGTAGAGGTGAATCACACAGCCTGCAAGAGGAAACTGCGTTAGCTAAATTTAAATCCCCTGCCCAATACATTTGTGAAGTTGCTTTGTTATTTTCCTGGGGAAAATGCACTAAACAGAGAAAATGGCAGTGATACAAATAGTGTTTCATTGAGCCTGGAGTGTAATTATTACTCCTGTGATTTTCAGATGGAGTCGTTCGTCTGGATAAGCAGAAGAAACTTGGCAGAAGGATCAAGCGCAGAATTCTTGGAGCAAGCTAACCTCAGCCGTCTACTCAAAGGGAGGATGCTGTCTACTCAGAAAGCGGGAGTAGTTGCTGCTTTAGTAATCTGCGTCCCAAGAACCACTAAACGGTCACTTGGAACGTTTGGCACATCTATTCCTGCCTCAAACAAGATAGACATCCAAGTACCTTTACTTGAATCCAGTGTACAGAAACCCAATTCTATCCTCAATTTTTGTTTGCAAAGTGACATTTTGAAGTCTTTTGTGTGACAGAAAATGTTAAACACCAATTAACTTTTCTAACAAAAGAGCTGTCAATCAAGTGAAAAAAACATTCCACACTATGAGCATAACTAAGTCAATAACTGGAAAACTCCTAAAAATGGCTTCCTGGGAGACTTAACAAGGATGAGGGCAGGGGCAGGGGCCGTGCAGACCTGGGCCTCTAGGGGCTTTCCAAGGGCACCTTGCCAGGAAGGCCCTGGGTTTCCACTGACCTGTCACCTGGATCTGGATGCTGATGTTCAGGAAGTCAAAAAAAAGGTACTGGAGAGATGACTCAGTGGTTAAGAGTACTTACTGGCAGGCATGGTGACATATACCTTTAGTGCTAGCATTCATAAGGCTGAGGCAGGTGGATCTCTGTGAGTTCAAGACTAGCCTGGTCTACCATTGTGAGTTACAGACCAGCCAGGGCTACATAGTGATACCCTGTCTCAAAAACAAAACAAAACAAAAACAGAGTACGTACTGCTGTTGCAGAGGACCCATGTCCCAGTTCCTAGCACCTATGTCAGGTAGATCACAATCCCTTATAACTCTAGTTTGAAGGGATCCAACACTCTCTGGCCTCTGAGGGCATCTGCGCACATGTGGTGCACATAAACTCATGCAGGCACATAAGCATACACATAAGTAAAAATAATTTTTTTAAGTCAAGGAGGTTTACTAGGCAACCATAGTTGTGTAATCCCAGCACTCAAGAGACTGAGGCAGAAGGATGAGAGTTCAAGACTAAGCTGGGCTACCTTAGTATGTTCCAGGCCACCTAGGATACATAATAAGACCCTATCTCAAAAAGAAAAGAAAGAGAGAGAAGAGAAAAAGAGAAGAGAAGAGAGAGAAGAGAAGAGAGAGGAGAGAGGAGAGAAGAGAGAAGAGAAGTGAAGAGAAGAGAAGAGAAGAGAAGAGAAGAGAAGAGAAGAGAAGAGAGAGAAGAGGAGAAATGAAAGCCAACCATGGTGGTGCATACCTTCAGTCCCAGTACTTAGGAGGCAAAGGCAGGCAGATCTCTGTGAGTTCAAGGCCAGCCTGAGTGTAGTGCCTGCATGTGTGTAAGTGCACCCATGTCATGAAATTCCCATGGAGATCAGAAGAAGGTGTTGGAGCCCCTGGAACTGGAGTTGCAGATGGTTGTTAGCTGCTGTGTGGGTGCTGGGAACTGAACCTGGGTCCTCTGTGAGAATAGCCTGTGCTCTCAACTGCTGAGCCATCTCCCCAGCCACCCTTATTTTGTTTTTATTTAAGTCTATTAAGACAAAATTAACGTACAGTAGAATCACTAATTTTAAGTAATTTTTTGTGTTCCATGTGACTTAAAAGAGTCTTGAGGGGCTGGAGAGATGGCTCAGGGATTAAGAACACTGGTTGTTCTTGCAGAAGACCCAGGTTCGAATCCCAGCACCCACATGGTACCTGACAACTTTCCATAACTCCAGTCCCAGGGGATCTGACAGCCTCTTCTGATCTCCGTGGGCATTGCACGACACGGGTGCACTTACCCACATGCAGGTAATACACATATACACATAAAATTAAAATAATAAATAAAAATTTTTAAAAAAAGAGTTTCGAGATGCACACAAGATATTATACAGGTCACTGCATAGCCACCTCTATAATTCTGACTGTGCATTTCCACACTGTATTTTTTTATATTTTATGTATTAATTTTATTTTATATGTGTGAATGTATTGCCTGCATGTATGTAAGTGCACCCATGTCCTGAAATGCCTGTGGAAGTCAGAAGAGAGCATCAGATCTCCGGAACTGGAGTTACAGATGGTTGTTAGCTGCCATATGGATGCTGGGAACTGAACTTGGCTCCTCTGCAAGAGCAGCCAGTACTCTTAACCACTGAGCCATCTCTCCAGCTCCATTTCCACACTTCATAACATTCCCTCCTGCCCCTTGGCAGTCAGTCCCCTCCCTTAGCCCTGGTTTGCAGTGACCACTAGTATCTATCTACCTTCTGCTTCTAGGTTTGTGTTGTCTGAAATATATAAATGAAACCACACAATAAGAAGCTGGTATATGGAATCTTCCAAAGTGGCTTCCCATGAACTCATCTCCAGGTT